GCTCCGGGACAGTGGGCACACGCGGTTGGGGCTTCCCCCCCTACCCTGGGGGCTGCCCTGGAGCCTGGTCAGCCCTGTAGCAGGGGGAGAGGAAGCCACGTCCCGTAGCCAACAGCAACCCAATGCTGCTTGCGTTGCTGAATTACTACAGACACTTCATCTTGGTGAAGTAGTGCAGAAAAAATACTAGTTATTATTTGCCTTCTTCATCTAGAGACCCCATGACCCATCTTCATCCCTGTGACACAAATCTCTATTCCTGTCGTACCCGAGAGGAAACTGCAGCGCAGAGAGATTAAAACCAAGACTCAGCAAAGCCAGCAGCCTCAAGCTAGTGCCTGACTCAATGTTCTGCATCTCAGAGGTGGTGGCCACCGCAGCGCCTAGCAGAGACCAGTTTGGAAATGCTGGCTTAGGAGAGAAGCAAACATGTTCTCTTTATTCCCAGACCCAGCAGAGCCCAGCACAGAGCGGTCCTGGCTGTGTGAGAAGCTCTGTTAGTGCAGGCAATGGAAGAATGCCAGCTCGCAGCAGCTGAGGATCTGGTTCCTCTTCTGTTCTGTTCTATTTGTGCACGGACTATGCTGAAACCTGCCAGCGACAGGTAGCAGCTGTCCCTGGCCCTAGAGCAGCCATCAGAGACTTGGAGTGTGCCCAGCCTGCAGATCAAACTTCCAGCACCAGGGTGACAACTGGGAAAGGAAGGTGGTGGGAAAGATCATCCACCCCCAGCTCTACCGTTGTAAGCTGTGGGCCCTGGGCCATCCTTGCACTCAGCCTCCCCATCTGGCCCTCTGCAGCCTGGACCAGAAGGGGCTTGGGAACAGAAATACCCTCATCTGCACCTGGAACTGGTTGTCTAAGCCATGTCAGAAACCTTTCATACAGGACCGCTTTTAGAGCTAGGTCTCTGGGCTTGGGAATCCTTCAGCATGGGCAGGATGCTGAGAGCATGAACAAGAGCCCCCATTCCCACTTGACCAGATTTTCAGCTGGCTAATTTTAACCTAGCCTAACTTTATTCAGAGGAGCAATGCACAGCAGCACAGTGTGTGGTCCATACAAAAGGGGTCTTGCCCAAAGGCTTGGTATCAGCTTCAACATCCAAGTTCCAGTGGTTTCCCAAAACTGACACTGCATTGAGACGAAGGCCTAACCCATTTTGTTTCCAAAATTCAGGAGCTGTTCGAGATCTGGAGCCACACTTTGCAAAGCCCTTGGGCCTGCTTCACTCCTTTCACTTAGGCTCTTTTTCCACTTTTTGTTTCCTTGGTAGTGGCTTTTTTTAAAATGTGAATTATCATCATGGAGAGTTTCCGTGAATAGCACAAATCGATGATTCTCTCTGCACAGCTGCTCAGTCTGCCCAATACCTGCTCAACAGTTCCTTCCCTTTCCCTGCTGGGCTGAGGCTGCGGCTGCTGTTGCGGCACTCAGATTTCAGATTTGCCATCTTTGCGTCCGAGTGTCCACTACACCTGAGCTCCACTGTGGTCAGCAATGGCTGGGGAAATCCAGGTGCCACGTGGTTTAAACTAGGCGTGCATGGTTTGGTGGCCCCTTTCAGCTGCAACGAACTCATGTCTCAGCATGATGTTAGGTGGGACCAGACCAGAACTGCTATCTTCACATTTCTCTAGAAACTCATGGGAGTTTGACAGCTCCCACAGTCTCCCAGGTACTTCAAAATCCTCCAGCAACTCCTGCTACACAAAGTTGTTCACAGGGAGCTGTGAGACAGATCCTGCACGTGTGGTGAGAGGTTTACCTGCTCGGGGAGATGCAGGCCAAGTGCTGTGCAAGGTGAGGTGGCTACTCGGGCTGCTGACTGACCACAGGGTGGCCTGGTGCCGTTTGCCTGGTGTGATTTCTCTGTTTCAGTTGTTGGTGACAGATGTTAATTACACTGCTTGATGCAGTTATGGACAGCAGTAAGGCATCACAGTAATGGAAACTGCGCAATAACCTTGCCTAGAATAGAACAGAGAGGAGCAGAACAATGGCTCATTTATCTTTGCAGGCACATCTTTTTCTACTCAGAGCTCATTAACCCCTATGTCCCGGCTGCATTCCAGTCCAGACATGTACTGTCTGCTAAACTGCCGACAAATTATCAGAGAACTGCTACAGTAGTTCTTGGGGTCGGCACTGCTCTGGTCCAGAGGTAGCTGCATTTTCACGGAAGCAATTGCTGAACTAATGTTATATACAGTGGTTTTATAAACAAAGTTGTGCAAATACTTGCCATAGGATCATGCCATGGTGTTTTGCAACTCCTGATCATTTGCACAATAGAAGCATGAAACAATTAAAACCTTTCATGTTTTCAGCATGAATAGATCTATCAAATTTCACAACTCCAATCCAAAATTGGACTAATTTTAAAATTAATATTGATAATTAGCAGTGCATGACTAAGCTTGAGTGGGTGCTTTCATGGGGGACTTGAGAAATACTCAGTCTTTAGTAGCAGACGGGGGACCGGTGCAACCCACTGCTTTAAGGAAGCTGCCTTTCCAGAGTGCATGGGGCAATAGATAGTGCAGTGACTTACCAGTTACCAGTGACTATCACAACAGGGAAGTCCTACTTTGGATTCAGTAAAAAGCATCCTGAGATATGGATGCCTCACAGCTGAGTACCATTTTATTGGATGTGTTCCCACTGATAAACTTAAGGGGATCCATGTAACTTTCCAAAAATTAAAAGCAAGAGACGGAAGCAGAAAAACGCTGTATCTCCCAGGGTGGACAGAGGCCACCTGGCTCAGCCTGGAGCAGATGAAAGACAGGGGTTCTGAGGTTGTCCCCACATAGATCTGCCGAGTGCCTGCAAGGAGGCAGAGCTGAAGCGGCAAGGGGAGAGCGTATCACTGACTTCAAGTGAATCGAGCATGACTTTGGGGGCTCTCAGTACACCTGAAAAATCTGTTTCTATTTTGAGTGGGCATCTGTGAGCTGCTCTCAAAAATTGTACTTGGTGAATTGGGAAGCTTTGGAAAAGGTTGTGCCTGTCTGTAAGAGCTCTGCACTGTTCATTTGTTCTCATTCTTTCCTAGGCAGAAACCGGTGTGGTTCTGATGAAGAAAAACCATCAGCGATGATGCTACGGGATAGGTCTCACATGAGGGTCCTTGATACAAAAGGCAGCTCTCCGCTTCTGTAGCTGATGGGTGATGACAACAGCTTGGTAAAAGGAGCTACCAAGAGCTGGCAGGATGAGTTACAGCTCACCCTCTGTGCATGACTTGTATCACAGCACCACCACCACGGCCAAGCCAGACCCAGGAACAACTCTGGATGTGACTGTACCAGAAACAGCTACCATAAGCCCTGAGACTACCAGTTTCAACAGCACCAAAATCCCAGATGTGGCCAGCACTGGACCTGGCATGAGCACAATGCTGCTGTCCTTTGGGATCATTACTGTGATTGGGTTGGCTGTAGCTATGGTGAGAGAGCCCTGCTAAATATTTCTCTGTCTGTTGAGGGTGGAGGGTGGCAAAGAGGCTCCAAGACTGATTTGGGTTGAATAATTTATTTGTGTTCTACTAAAGGCTCACCCAGAACTGCTGGGAACTGATAGTTCCTGAGATCCCTTTCTTTTTAAGGCCTTTATCCAGTGCTCCAATATTTCTGCAGTCTCCCTGAGGTCTAGTCCGAACGGGATGCTCAGCAGGCCTAGAGGAAGCCATATGTAGTGTCAGTATTTATTTTTAATAGCAATAATAGTTAAATAGCAATAGTTCAGTTAAAAGAACACAAAGCAGATTCTGTTCTGACTTGTTAACTGGAACAGCTGCATTGATTTAAACCTTGTCAACATGGGGCCCCGCAAGAAAGTTCATCCAAAATAACTTTTAAAGCAGACTGTTGAAACTGCATTAATCTTCCCTATGGACATGCCTTTTTGAATTAAAGTGGCCTGAATCCATTATAGCGAGACTCATTCTGGACTGCATTTCCAAGGTTCTACTTGCTGGGTGTCAGGAAAGTCCTTGAGGATTTGCTGTGTAACTAACCTTGCCATTAATGCTGTAGGCAGAAGCTTTCAGAAACTATAGTTCTGGGCCTGACACAGGCAATGCAAGTGCTGCAGTTGTTCTTTTGATATATAACCAGCTCGTTTACCTGCCAACAGAAAACAGAAGGTAGCGGCAAGCTCCCATTCCTCGTATGAGGAAGAGCTTCACTAATACAACCATCAGAGGAGCCTACAGAAAGGGACTACTGCAAAATTTCACTGCAGGCCCAAGGAGGAGTTTTTCCAAAAGCCCCTAAGAGAACCTGGAAACATTATCCTGGAAACGGTCATAAGTTCCCAAGAGCAACATCCAGCGTTCGTAGTTCTCAGAACAAGGCTCTGGAGGCCAAAAGCCTCACTTTCTTCCCAGCGCAGCCACTCTTACTGGCTGACACGAGGCAAGTCACTGAGCATGCCCTCTTTGCTGCTTCCCTTTATGCTGGGGAGGGGGTAAGAGCACTTTTACGCTGTAGGAAATCTACAGATGAAAACCACAGAGGGAAGGTTCTTCATCCACTCTTAAATTGCAACATATGTCCCGCAGCCACCAGAAATGTGCTGAGCTACACCTAATAATAATACACCTAATACTCTTACTACTACTAACACACCTAATAACAGGCCACTCGAGCACTTAGTGTCACACATGATGTGCTACCGAGCTTACACTGACGCATATGAAATTTCATTTTTGGTTGTCACTTCTCCCTTCCCCCTGCTTTGGTGCGCAGTGACACCAGACTTGCTACACCTCCTTTCTGTGTGCCCTGTGCCCAAAATTCCTCTTCTTAGCTGTTCCCTATCCTACTGGGACAGTGGTAATGATGGTTTTCTTTCTCCTTCAGGTTCTGTATATCAGGAAGAGGAAGAGGTAAGTAACGTCTGCTGTTGGCTGAACGGAACTCGGTGCTTCAAAATCCAGAGAGAGCTAGGAAGCAGACAGGGAGATGGGGAGAGCGTAAGGGATGGCTGTCTGAGAACAAGCCTATGGGGAATCAGCTGCGTGTGAATGAGGCAGGAGTAGAGACACTGCACTCCTGGTATTGGCCCACCTTCTAACACCAGAGCTTCAAAGACTCCTCTGCAGCTTTGGAAAGGAAAACATGGTTGAGCAGGGGGAGGTTAGGGGATCCTGCAAACTCTTCATGCTTCATCTATGAGATGCATTAAAACAGAGGAAAGGGTTATGAGTGTATAAAGAAGCTGGGAACTCTGTCATGAGAGGTGTGGATCTCACATTTCAGCCATTCCCAGATCCCTGTGTTTTCCAACAGCCTGGGCCAATGGCACTGGCCTTGCAAGGCTGAAGGCCTCTTTAGCTGCAGTCACAGCAACTGGCAGGAGCATAGTGCAGAGATGCAGCTTTCTAGTCCAAGACTTAGTGTCTTAATTTCCTTGTTAAGCTCCTGGCTGAAAATAGAGAGGAGAGCAGTGTGCAGGGAGACACACGTCTTGATTCTTCCGGCTCTGACAGCAGAGACACTGGTGAAGATCCATTAGATGTGGTACCTCCTCCCTGCCTGACTCCTTGTGGCAGGCCTGGCCTGGCCACAGACTTTCAAGAAGTGCTGCTGCCCACTGTAAAATTTCCAAGCCAGACCCTGAAGCCCAGATCTGGCTACTGCCACAGGAGCAGCTAATGCTTGGTCTGTGTGAACATAGCGCTGCTGGAGATAATGGTTGTATTGGCAAACCCATATAGAAGCAGGGAGGGAATGTGTCATCCTAACACTTGCCAAAACAGATATTTGTAGTGACACTGCCAGTAACTGCTTATGTGTTTCCCTCTCCCACCCCCCAAAACTCAGCTACTAAGGCAGGGCTCGGTGTTTTCACAGGAGCATGCCCACCCATCCATCTTCCATCTCTGAGCTGCCCAGTATTTAGGGAGACCCCTTGGGGTAATACTTCATAGCTCTGTCACTTGGAGCAATGATATAAGAGTAGGAACTGTCTGTCCACAGGTGTCAGCCTCCTATGAGAACCTATCTCTTTCCTATTTTCTATTTATTTTTTTTTATTTTCTATTTATTTTTTATGTACTTCAACCCCAGAATTAAAGTACTACTCTTAGGCCACTGGAGCTAAAAGTGGACTTCTGCTGGCAGACATAGTGTGACATGGCAGGACTGGCTGTTGTGGGCAGAGGGATGGGGGAAGAAGTCACAAAATGCCTAGCCAATATGTTCCACTGTCTCTTTTGTCCCACCACATAGAGCTTGATCTTTTAAAGTCTGCAGGAACTTAAATCCCTGTCTGATTCCTCTGTGCATAATGCCTGCCAACATAGATTAGTGATGGCAATTAATCCCTGTAACTGCACTCTGGGTATCTTCCACTCCTGCCAGCTGTGTGCAGTAGGTTCTTATCCTCATCCCTGCAGGACAGGACATGACCCTTATCCAGCAAGAGCAACAAGAGCAGAATCCCTGTGCAGCAGGAGAAACAGCCTGCAGAAAGCCCCAGCAGTGGGGTGGGGAAGGCAGCCTGAGCATCTGTCCTTCTCAACCAACCCTTTCCCTTCCCTCCCACGGGCAGGTTGGAGAAGCTACGGCACCAGCTCATGCCCATGTACAACTTTGATCCCACCGAGGAACAGGATGAACTGGAGCAGGAGCTGCTGGAACATGGGCGAGATGCAGCATCTTCCCAGGCATCGCAGAGCAAGGTAGGCAGCAGGGGCCAGCGAGTCTGTTACTACAGCCACTGGTACCTGCACTGCTTTTCTTACAGGGTGAAAGAGTTTTTGTAGGGTAAGGAAACCATGTAAGACCTCAGGAGAACTTCCCCCATCTCTGCCAGCCCTGGAGATAGGGGGCATGAGCATTTCGGAGTGCTTAGGATGGACTGAAGAGTCAGGCAACTAGGATGTAGAGCTGGGGGAGGCAAAGTGCTGGCTCTACTCAACTAGGAGAGAGAAAAGGGCAACTTCAGTAATTAAGGGTGAGTTTACTACAGTTTACCACCCAGGGCACCACAAGGGAGCAGTAGGATGAATGCCATTTTCTGGGAGACGGGGCTTCAATGCCCACAAAGCACTGAGGATCCTTTGCCTTGGCCCTGAAAAGCAAGTAATTTCCACCCAGTTTTAAGATATCCCTGCTTTGCCTAAGGATGCAAGTGTGGAACAAGGCCTTACTGAGGGCCTTGCCTGTAATCGTAATAGTTAACTGTGCTGCAAGCCCTGAAGAATGCAGGCAGAAAGCCTGCACGTTGTGGCATGGCACATCTGGCCTTGTCAGCACCTCCAGGCCAACCTTGCTGGGCACAGAGCAGGCATGGCTCAGAAAGAGAAAAGGGAGGAGAGTTCACTATTTGAATTTGGGGAGAGGGGAAGAAGGCTTTGCTTTGACCACTTCTGAGTGTTCAAAGGCAGGCAGCATGCTGAGAAATTATAAGGTCCTCAGAGACCACTGACTTACTACATTTGTGAGTTAGGAAAGAGCTTGATAGCTTGGCCAGTTGTTTTTGGTTAATGGTCTAGATGGGTCTTTGACAAGAGGCTATCTCCTTCCCCAGTGTACCAAGAGGTAGGAGAAATAGGGAAGAAGGGCTTCTCACCATCATTTGCAGCCAGCTTCACAGTGTTTTCTGTTTCCTTTGTCACCACCACCACACAAAAAGCCTTTCTGAAAGACACAGCCGGCAGGGATGGTTGGAACAGGTACGTCTCTTAGCCAGCGATGCAGCCTCCCCATAGAGTAGACATCTCTCCTTTCCTGAATTCCTCTCCAGCTGCTCTGTGTTGCCTGTGTCTTCCCTTGCTTTTCCAGTTCCAGGAGCAGGAGTTCTCCCAAAAAATTCTCAGTTTCCACACACTTTACATCTTCAGATAATCTGTAGCAAGC